TAGACAGGCTGTAACTTTTTTAGGCACGTTTTTGAAATGTTTGGCCTACATCCTAAAATAGTTCATAGTGCCTTGCAAAAGTTTCTTTCTTTGAAACAAGTAAAAAAAAAAAAAAATCTGAATCCCTCCTGAAAAAACTAAACACAAAATAAAACATTAAATCTCTCTTTGTTTTGAGAATTGTTTTTATTTAATATTTTTAAAATTTAACCATTGACAAAGCTAATTGAACTGGAGTGCAGCAATATGACTCTAAGCAATCAGACCTTTTAGTCAGAGGATAACAAATGAATAACAATTTTTATTTTTTGCAATAATGTCCCTCTTTAAGACCTGCCCTTGTCACATGACCTCTCTTTTCATCATGAAAAGCCTAATTACCATTAAACCTGATGGAAAAATAAATCTTTGGATATACAGCAGCAAGGTAAGAGTTGTGTAAATCAACAAAGAGGCAAGACCTGAAAAATATCTGAATTGTGTATTTACTGTGTTTTTAAACAAGTGTAAAGTCACATTTGTTTACATGAATGGAGCAGGACTTACACACGTGCTGTTAAACATGTGCAGCTGTTCACTTTCTGGCTTCATCTTCCAAGTTCCAGTCCTAGATCTACTTATAAATTGTCTTGGGTCTAAACATGAGTGTATGAGGGACCCTGTGACAGTCGGGTGATTCACAGGGTCTGTGAGAGGCACTCTCACACTTTGACTGCTGGGAAACTTAACAGAAAAAGTACGAAACTAAAGGAAAGAAATGAAATGAAATGAAAGGTTCTATGTAGTTTCAATAGTAAGGTGTAACAGTGATTTAAGTAAAAATGAACGTAACATTGTTACTTGTTGATTTAGGATTTTTTAATATAAAAAAATCAATCCAACTTGGATTTTCAACTCTAACTCATCTTCTGACTCAAAGAGAAAGCTGAAAAGGCTTTTTATAAAATCAATAAAGGGAGACAGTTAAGAGCAAAATAACTTTCTGTTGATGTGTCTGTGCATACCAATGAGATGGAGCTTTTAAATCTTGCGTTCCATCCACCTCAAGCCTCACTAAAAGCTGACTTTAGCATTTGTTTGCAGTTTAGGCATGTGCATGTGTGGATTCAATACACTCCAGTGTTGTCGTAACTACCTGTTTATCAATGCAACAGCTATGACACATTTTTTAAGAAAAAAAAAGCTTTTTCTCAGAGTTTGATTTATGACTCAGCTCTCAGTGTCACTCTGAAGGCAATTACAAGGTGTGAATGGATATAATATGCATGCACTGTCTATATAAGCACAGCATTCCGCCAAGAGCTGGAACTGAGGCGACGCTCTTGAAAGAGCATCATCAGTTATGCTTTTGTGTGCTTGTATGGCGAATGGCGATGCATTTCTTATTGTGTGTGTGTGTGTGGTGTGTGTGAAGATGAAAAAGCATTTTAGTGGATTTTCTAAGAACAACTGAGATTTTCAGATACAGTGGTGCCTAAATGTTTGTCTATAACCGGGGTCTGCAACCAGCAGCTCTGGAGCCCTATAGTCCCTCTGCATCAGCCCATTAAAGCTTTTATCAAAACTACTATGAGACTGATGTGTTTTTTTGTGCACCATCAACAGAAAAGGCTAATTTTGTCAGTTTTTACCTTCAGTGTGTTTACAAAAATGTAATCAAAATACAAAAAGTGAAACATTTTAAGTAGTTTGAGCTACTAGTTTGTCAGCCACTTCAATAATCCAACTTCCAGTCTTATTATGTGACCTTTCTTGCAAATCCGTCATGAGGTTTGTCTTTAAAAACCTGTAAGACAAGTTGCTAAGAAGAAGAATGTTGAGTTGATTAGATAACAATAAAAGTGAATAAATAAATAAAAAATCTTGTCTGCATACTTTAGTGTTTCAGTTTTTATTAAATTTAGTATAAAAGATCTTGTCTTGTTTACATGAATATGGTATTTTCTTCTTTCCTAAAGTGTGAAAATTATTAAAAATGTTAAAATTTACTATGCATTTTTAGTTTTATAATGTCATCCCAACTGGCCAGAAAATATCCCTTTCAACAAACTTAAAGTGGCCCATGGGCCACCAGTTGAAAATCACAGTTGTAGCTACTCTGGACACATTTTATTAGTGAGCCATGGGGTGGAAATGGCACATTTGACTGTAAAGATTTCAGAATACTGGCCTATATGAATTCAAAACAGTTCAAGGAAGCTTGAACTTACAGTAACATACAAACTATATACAAGGCCACACATTTTGCACAGATTATATAATATCACCTACTGCTCAAAGAAAAAGGACAATCAAGTTTTTGCCAGTGTCTGTGTGTTTGTTTGCCTTTTGCAGTGGTGGGCAGCACTAATCTAAAAATTAGTTCCACTAGCCATAAAAAACTAACTCAAATATTTATGTCCCCTAATTCTAAAGCACTAATGCACTGAAAGTTTTAGCAAAAGCTAATTCTAAAGCACTAAAATAACTCAAGTCAACCCATGAACATTCTTCAACAGACAACATGAGTCACATGTGGCCTTGTTGCTCTGTAATGCTGCGTTCACACCGAACGCGATTTCAGCATCAGGAGCCTGTACATACAAAGTCTATGGTGGACGCGCTTCAAGCAACATTGGGAAGTGCTGCGGCGCCTCAAGCGCGATTAGAGCAGCGCGATTTGAACGATCTGAGCGTTCGACGCGCTGAGGCGCAAATCGCTGAAGTTAGAAAATCTGAACTTTTGCAGCTCGACGCGCAGCATCAACCAATCAGAGAGACTCCACTGTGTGACGTAGCGACATATTTCCCGACTGGACAGTTTACTGAATGATGTCCACTAACCTGAAACAGATGGAGAGGAGCTCTTTAGCTGAAATCGAGTGCCTGCAGTCGGTGTCCTGACAGGAGATATCTGCACCAATGTGTGGCAGCAGCTCATCAGACTGGACTCGGGACAAAAATAGTCCTGAAAGTGAGCTGTGAGCCTCTACTCTGAATTATCTGGTGAATTAATTATGAATTAATTATCTGATGAACGTGACATGCTCTTGCTCTCTGTAAATAAAGCAAAGCCACTTCCTCGTCCGACATTAAACAGAGCCCGACAGAGGAGGGAGGGGCGGGGAGGCAGTTGCCGTGCAGCGCTTCAAGAGCTGTCCTGCGTCTGGCCTTAAAGTGCACAAGCGACCAACTTTAGCGTTGGCTGCGATTTTGAAGCTGAAATCACGTTCGGTGTGAACGCAGCATAAGACTTATCACTGACATTCCGCAGCCATATTTGGGTTCATGTATTGTCAATATATTGTCACCTGGTGGATAAGTGACACACATATGAACAAAATGTGCGACAGCTTTCACCCTCAGCTGTTAACGTTGATCAATAACATTAAATAGACCTGTTAGCGCTTCTATATTTAGCCTATAAATTTACCAAGTGCTAATCCACTAATACATTTTAAAATTAGCAAAAGCACTAAAGCACTAATCAGGAAATTAGTTTCCCTATTAGTGTTTTAGTACTTTAGGGGAACTGTGCCCTCCACTGGTCTTTTGTGTGAACAAAATGTCTCATGAATCACTTGACAGATTTAATGAAACTCTCAGAAAGCAATGATTGAATATACCTCTGATTGATTTTGGAGTCAATCCAAAGTAAGATGGCTGCCACAGCTACGCCAGTTTAGCAAACATACCTATACCTCAGTCAGTATCAAGATATTGTGCTAAATTTTATTGTGGTAGTAACTAAAACTAATTCAGAACACTTACTTCATGCACTCCACGTGCTCTTCATATTCAACACATTTGCTGAAATAATTGACATGAACTGTTAGTGTCAGCTCTGTCCATCTGTTAGTAAAATATCTCATTATCAGAAACCTATCATTGGATGCCCATCTGAAACTGAAAAAGCTTTGAAGTCAACCTGTGTCAAAATGTCTGCCGCTAATTGACATTAGAAAACACAAAAAAGTGTATAACTCAGTCAGTTTTACAGCTGTTGAGTTAAAACTTGGTTTGGTAGTAGGTGAGAGTGTTTACAACACATACTCTGAGTGCTAACAGGTTTCACAATCTTGCATTAGATTGTGCATAACATTACAAAAGCTGACAAAAACAGCTCCAGCCTTCTCATCATAAGATGATCTCAGTTCAACACATGGACATAAAAAATGGTGGACGATATGCATTTATTCATAGATGCCTTTTTGGCTCTACAAGGCGCCGAGTGTTTGACTACCCTCTCACTGTACGATTCATCAACTTGAATATAAACACAGAAAAACAACTAAAGCTTGAGCAGACGCACGTGCACACGCACACACTTGGTTATGCTAGGATGCTCAATGTTAGTGTCTGCCAAAGGTCTTTAGAATCTGGAGGGGCTGTAGATCCCCCCAATCCCACGTGGCTCACCATTGATTTATGTCATTGTGTGTTTTCAGCCTCTTCAGAGGTCACCTTGCGTGTCTACCCTGCGCAGCATTCTCTCTGCTACATCTGCTTTCGTGCACGGGCTGCATTTGCTTCACCGTCACTCTTTAATCTCCATCTTAAAACCCTGGTGCTGCTTTCTCACACAGCCATAACACCCGAAAAGAAAAAAGGCAGAAATGTGGCAGAATCTCGTTTTATGGTTTGTTAAAACAGTTGCCTACAATAGTCTAAAACCTTTTTTTTTTTGTGGAAATTGCCTGAGGTGATCGAAGTTCTAGTGGAAGAATAGAAAAATGGCTCCTGCCGTATATTGAGTTATTGCTAAATTGTCAGTGAATGCTGTCATTTAGTCAGGCTACAGGCTATGCCTACTGAGGCAGAGAAAAAGCAATCATAACAGGAAGCAAGCAGAATCTGCATTCACGCGGCAGTCACCTATTTATTGAAGTTTGCATGCAAGTAACGCACTTCACCACCATCTGTGTCGTTTGTTGTTGTCTGTCAGCCTGTCTGTACAAAAATGACGTTCTCATGTATGCACTGTGTTTCTGACATGCCTTGCTCATGTCTCCCTCGCACAGATTCCCTGGAGCCCACCTATCAGCAGCTGCAAAAGATGAAATTGGACAAAAGTCCGTTTGTGGTGGTGTCTGTGATTGGCCAGGAGCTGCTGACAGCGGGACACCACACAGCCTCTGTTGTGGTGCTCGAAGCTGCTTTGAAGATTGGGACTTGCAGTCTGAAGCTCCGCGGCTCTGTCTTCTCGGCCCTCAGCAGCGCTCACTGGTCCCTGGGCAACACAGAGAAGAGCACAGGCTACATGCAGCAAGACTTAGAGGTGGCCAAGACCTTAGGTAAGCCAGGGGAGGGGGAACTAATGTTCAGAGTGTGTCGTGTTGTTGACTTCTCTGAAATTGTTAGATCACACAAACTCAAAGGTGACTTCTGACTAGCGCACCAAAGAGGCCCCACACCACAAAGAAGAAAAAAATTTTTTTTAACTTAATTTAAAATTAAAATTCAATGCAACAAAGTAAACACATTTAAAAGGGGAAAGATATTAGTACCTCTCCAGCCCCTGAGCTGTAGGCTTTGAGTAACTGTGCCCCCCTGAGAAATTTTGTTAATTATCCCTGTATTAATGTCTCAAAAGAAGATGCTTTAAAGCCAGCATTGACCATAAACTACATCTCCTATAATGGATGTCAATTTTGCATGAGAATTCCCTTTTGGTAAGTGGGAGAGTTCAGAACTAAAGATGGCAGCTTCTCACCACAACTCATTAGTGAGTAAAACTCTCTCAATTTTACTTTTAGTAGTATTTGTGTATTATTTATTTCACATTTAATCAGTAGTAACAGGTTGTACTTTTCAGTGTTTTTAATGTTAAAATGCTGTTTCAGTGCAGGAAAAACCACGCAGAGCACAGTTCCTGTTTGTTAGCGGTGCTCAGCTGTAGCAATGAGACAAGGACCGTGACTTTTCATGTTTAGTTGAAGTTAAACATGAAGCATCAAAGTAAATTACACTTGGCCCTTTGAGGGCCACCATAATGCTCGTGTGGCCCTCAGTGAAAATGCGTTTGACACTCCTGAGTTAGATGGATGAAAAAGTAAAGTTTCATACCAAACTAGTTTCTTTTAGGTATTTTAATAAAAAGTCTTATCAATTTCTCACAAACTCTACTATTTTCTTTAACAGAAAAGTTATTTATCTTTTATTTATCATATAAATAATAAAAGCCTAGTGTCTTCACATCAAAAGCTCACCTATTACTGAGATTCAAATATTTTTACTTTTAACAGGGTAAACTTTATTTTTTTTTTCTTGATCTTCCTCAGAATAGAGGACAACAGCGCTACAGAAATGTTTTGTCATTCTTCAAACATGTCTTTGTTCTCGACTTGCTTCTTGCTGAAAAGCTTGTGTTGTTCTTTTTTTTTTTTTTGAAAACATCTCAAAGCTGGTTTTTTTGGCTGGATTTTTTTTCTAAGTCAAGCAACAAACTTTGCAATGTCATGGCTTTTACTTTTTTCTCTTCTTCTTTTGAAATTCTTGTAAGATTTTCAGTGTGTGTGTTGGATTGCTATGCTGGGGATTTTTACCTACTGCCAAGCCACAAAGACTGGCAGTGCCTTTTCTGATTGGATTCTGTTTTTTTCATCAGCTCTGATGGCACCCAACACCTTTTGGACTAACGTCCGTGTTTATTGTTAATTTCCCCCTCCATGCTTCACTGTCACAGTTATTTGATCTTTGCAGAGTTCTTGGCAAGACCCCTTCCTAACATGCTGGACTTAAAGTGTGGAGAAGAAATTTATCTTGATTTCATTCAACTAAGATGCAGGCTTTCAATATTCATCAAGCTTTTAAATGTATTTTTTTCCCCTGTGAAACTTAATCAATTCGTGCCAACAAGTGAGAAAGTTCTTGTTTTTTTTTCTGGGATGTTGTCGATAAAAATTGATGCACGACTGTTTTTTTTTCCATTGTCTGAGCTGTGACTGGTAACCTTTGCCAAGTCTAATACACCTTCATGTCTGTTTTTCAGACCAAGATTACAAAAGTAGCAGATTGAATCATTTTAGGAGGACAACCACTTTAGCTCCGATTAGTAGCTACGTAATCTGTTGGTTCAGTACTTCCTGATACTGCTGCAGCTACTGTGCTTATCTGATTTCTACTTAACTTTCTGTATCCTTTCTATCTTTCCAAATGACTGCAATGTTCAGCAATCATCCGTTTTACAACTTTAATGTCAGTAAGATTTGCCATATTACATAGAGAAAAATAAGGGAGCCTACTGCAGCCGAGCCGTGGTCCTAGGGGCCACAAGTGATGCACCAGTAAACCATTACATAATTCATGATTCATAATAATAATGGGAGTGCTTCATTGTCAGTGGACATAAAATTCAACCAAAAGGAAACCTTTTCAATTATAGGCTCCATATTCTAATGAAACATAATATTAACAGCTAAACTTAGTCTATGAAACTAACCATTTGAAAAGAATGGAGTGAGCCCAAGTTTTAGCTCAAATATATCAGTGTTTACAGTCATTGGACCTCATGCAAGAACATGTTCGTATTCTTATCCTAAATTTCTCTTACTTTTRTTYATACAAAGGGTTCGTTCGAACATGTCACGTCAGATTCAACAAACTCTTCTATCTTCAGGAAAAGTGTGTAAATGAGCTGCTTAAATTTCACCTGTTCGTATCCAGTTGCTCGTGCACGCGAGAGGAGATTAGCATAATTACCACCCCAAAAACACCATATAAGGCTATGTTTCCTGCCTCAGATACAAGGAAGTGTCCATTCATGAAAATGACAGCGAAAACTAAAAAGAAGAACTTTACGAGTTCAGAGATTGAAGTCCGTCTGTCAGAGATCCAGAAAAGAAAATCTGTCATTTTTAGCAGGTCAGCTGTGAAATAAAAGGAGCTGGTAAAAGTATAAACAACTGTGTTAAATCATTTTCATTTATTCAGAAGCCACGCCGTCGCGCACCCACTCCCCCACCCCAACGCAGTCTCAAGTGGTCTCAGTTGCGGTTCTGAAATAAGCGTTTTAAAATGTTTTCAAAATAAGTCTGGCACTTTGGAGAAAATCCAGGAGTCGCTGGAGGGATTACGTATCCCTTCTGGCCTGGGAACGTCTCGGAGTCCCCCAGGACGAGCTGGAAGGTGTCGCTGGGGAGAGGGAAGTCTGGGTCTCTCTGCTGCTGCCCCCCGTGACCCAATCCCGGATAAGCGGCAGAAAACGGACGGACGGACAATTTATATTATTAGTCTAAATTATTACATTTAAAATTATAACTCTAATTCAAGCAGAATAGCCTATTGTCAAGATAATCATAGAGTGTGATTTATTTTCAACTCAAAATATCTTCAAACTAACGAAATATAAAGTTGTTAGTGATGAAAACCCGTCTGGATAACAGCAGACTGACTGTTCGTAAAATATACGACAGGTCTGGACCACTCGTGAATTTTGTTCGTATCTGAAAAAAATCTTAGAATACGAAAACATTGGTGAATGCCACAAATTCTCCTAAATCACTCGTACGCACAACTTAAGAACAAATCTGTGCGTACGAACGGTTCTTGCATGAGGCCCAATGTTCACAGTCATTGTTTACAGCCACTGTTTATAGTATAAACAGCCATGTGGAGCTGCCGAAATGTTTGCTGGTACAAAGCACCTTCTTTTTGAACAAAGCACCTCCCTGAAGCTCATTCTCCATTTGAACTCCTCCCTTGGGCTCAGACTGCAACCGAGCTCCCCCCCAACACAGGACCCCTCCACCGAAGCATTTTTTGAAAATGTGCTGAAATGGGAGCACGTGTGAAAGACGACATAAAAACTTTTAGCTTTGTTACCACTATTATTTTTGCACTTTAAGAAACAATGCTTAAAGAAATGTATAGTGAAGGAAAGTTGTTCAAATCCACTTTCACTTGCAATTCCTTTCTAGTTTAAACATCTTTGAGACTTGAGACAGTTTTGTTTACAGTTCGGGTTTAAACTGTCCACTTTACAAGTTTTCCCTCAAAATCTGTTATCTAAGGTGAAAAGAAAATAAATACATTTTGCAACACGGGCTATTTTTATTATTGAAGAATAGATGGATTCTAATTGATCGAATCATGATTAATTGATTCAGAACCTTATGAATTAAAATCAAATTGATTCAGAGAACTGGCCATGATACCCAGCCTTATAAACTAACCCCACTGTAGGCATTTTATGGTACAGTAGGAACACCTCATTTTGACAGAAAACCAGCTCCCAGTTCAAAATTATGGGAGGTTTTTCATCATACATTTAAAGTTGGTTTACTAATAAACAATGAGAAGCTAACACACATAAACTCTATCTTACTGATTCAGAAATTCATAAAATATACTAAAAGCTGAGAGTCATATCAGCCTCATGAGTTGTTTGAGATACAAATTATCAAGTGTTTGATTGCCCTGACAGGAACATTGGGCCTCATGCAAGAACATGTTCATATTCTTATCCTAAATTTCTCTTACTTTTGTTCATACGAAGGGTTCGTACGAACATG